GCTGACATTATGTTGTGTTTCAAAAGAGAAAGAAAGGAAAGTGTTTAGAATTTTATAAATTAGAGCTTTCTAAATATGATCTCCCACTATGCAGTATGTCAAAACACAGGAACTGAGAAGATGGGGTAAAAATTATTAAAATAAAAACAATAATTAGGTGAAGAATAGAATTTACATAGTAAATGTTAAATTCAAAAGAAGAAGAAATATTTTTTATAATAATCTCCCAACAATTGGTTTGAGAGAGATTCAAAGATGGTGAATTCTTTTATTTATACATAGTCTTTTCCCCAAAATCCATTGTATCAGCATCAGGAAAACAGAAATTATCTTCCATTGTTCCCAATTCTTTTATCTTCCTTAGGGAGATAGAATTTAACAAACTAGAAATCAACATTTAAGAAATGTAATTTATATGTAATTTCTTGAACAGTTTGAACACAAAATATAATAACTTTACATACCTATAGATTAGTAAGGTCTGTGTTTCTAATTTTTGAAATGGAAAATAGCACTTAAGATAGTATGATGATGAATATGGGAGCTATTTTATATTTTTAAATATCAACCAAAGACTTTAAAGAATACTCTATTGATGTAAATTTAAGATTGTATAATTTCAACCTAAAGGTAGTACATTCTGAGACCATCAGTTCTGTGCTCTGTAGAAACAGAATTCCCCAAACAGATACTTCATTTTTGTTATAAGTTTGGTATGTCAGATCTCTTCATAATTTTGGACATTCATGTTTCTTCCAGATGAAAACACATTCCCACAACAAAATCATTTTTCAATGTGGTCTCAGTTAGTAGATAACATCCTTGTGAAATGTACAGAAGGAATACATTTTCTCATTTCCCTCTTGTATTTCTGTGCAACACTAGGAAGTTCTTAGAGAACTTCAGATCTAAGCAACCTCAGCCCATGCTGATTTGTGGTCACTACCAGGATGCATTTTCTCCTCAGTGCTTCCTGGTAAACACAGCTGTTGAACCAGCACAGCCTTCTCCGTGTGTGTGTGTGTGTGTGTGTGTGTGTGTGTGTGTGTAGCTCAGACTCTTTATATCTCAGCTGCCTATGGAGTCCCTGAGTACTATGTTCAGCTGTCCTTGAACTTATGTTTTTCTGGACACAGAAGTGAGGGCTCTTCCCTCCTGGTGTAACAACCAGCTCCCAGGGTTCTCAGCAGCAGCTCCACTGACTGAACAAGAAAATTGAATGAAGAGATTACATAATGAGTTAAAATTTCATTTAAATTTCTTTTCTTGAAGTTTTTGTCCAATATCCATAGAGCAACATGCCCTCTAGAATAATTTTTATTTGGGACAGTTTTTAAAATTTTGAATATCCTTCACATAATTACAATTTTTCCACAAGAATCTCAGCATTATCATTTATACTATAGAGAATCTGTCAGAATTTCAGTGTTCACTTTTTGTGATGTTAGTGAAATGGTTCAGAAGCAAACCAGGATTAGAAATTTAAGCTATGAAAAAAATGAGTCTTCTTCAAATCCTCAATTCTGTTTTTGCTTTTTTTTTGAGGGGGTGTACCGGGAATTGAACTTGGGTCCTTATGCTTGTGCAGCAGGCGGCAAAACCACTGAGCTAAATCCACAGCCCCAAATCCTCAATTCTAAGCCTTCATCCTCCTTCCACCTGTGAGCATATGTGTGAATGCTCATGTCTCCCCACATGTGTGTACACACACACACCTCTTGAAAGCACATTCCAGAATAACAATATGTTGTTTATCACATTTATTTAAGGGCTGGGATTTAACATACATAGAGTTGACAGATGTTGAACTTTGGGGCCCAAACTTTGGACCCAACGTTGAACTCTGGGAGAGAAACACGGAAGAAAAGTCCTTTTCTATTAAAAGAATCATTCAATTTTACTGTGAGATGACTCAGCTTTTAGTAAGAGGGTGTTTTTGTTTTTAGTTTTATTCCATAATCTTCCTTAAAGCCAATTTTGGATATTTTAACTTTTCATCTAGGGCTGAACTTGAATAGGGATATTTTATGTGTCATGTAACCTATAACATATAACCACAAAAATTGTCTGCCATGTCCCTTTAGGATTTTAAGGGTTTTTATTAATTAATTTTTGTATTTCAGATTTGAAGCTATCATCTGGCATATATGTTTCAATGACATTAGTCATCTCCCATCTTCCAGCCCTCCCTCTGTGGTCCTCCCCCATGAATCTGAGCGCATCATCAGCCTCTGGTCATGGTGTCATAAGACTGATGGAGCTCTAACACCTGGAAGTGCTTGGCCTGATCACACTGCTTCCCACACATATGTGACTGCATGTGTTCAGAAATGGCTCTTACTTTGCTCTGGCTTCTCTTTCTATTCTTCTGTTGCAACATTATTCCCACATGAAGAATTCAACCTTTTCTCAAGAAAGGTTACTCTGGAAAAGAAAAATTCCCTAAAAAATTGTGAATACCCTTATTTGAATAAGATAAATCATAGACATTTTGTATTCTGACTTGGTCCCACAGTGAATGTGCCATGTGATCTAATGAGTAGATTAAAGTCCATTCCTGGATTGATGCCGCTACTTCTCTGTGTGTCCTTCTGCTGTCATTCTAAAGATGCTTCCTTGTCTCATCTGTAGGATGAAAGTAAGATGCATCTCCAGACTGGGTGAGGACTAGACATAATACACATGAAGCACAAGTATACAGTTTATTTTCTAGACTGAGACACTGAGTTCATTTTGATAAATTTTTATATACAACATTAATTGTTAAGCAATAAATTTAAGGTGGTTTGAAGTCATCCTCAAATATTTAAGGAAATACAGGTTACTTGAGAATCTTGTTAATTTCTACTTTCTGATTCTAGTTTGGGACATTTCTAACAAGTTTTCTGGAAAGGTTAATAGCAGATTGTGCTTTCACAAAGATTGCAATTATAATAACAGCCATGAGTCAATCTGATAAATATAAAACTGTACTAAAATTAATTATGGTGAAAATTTAAGAAATAGTGGTTAAAATTATCCTGTATAAGGTAAATAAACCCAAGAAATTGAATACAGTTGAACCACACACATGTACTACACATAAACAACAAACACATCCAAAAAAATAAACACTCTAAGGAACATCATAATTCGATTGTTCAAAATCAGTAATAAAGAAAACAAAACCTCAGTTGCCTGTGAACTAGCACAAACAATCAACAAGTGGGATCTCTTCTTATTAAAAGGCTTCTGCACAGCAAGAGAAACCACCAGCAGTGTGAAGAGACAATCCACAGTGTGGGAAAATATCTTCACCTGCTCTTCCTCAGACAAAGGTCTACTATCTTGAATCTACAAAGAACTTTAAAAGATCAGACCTCCCAAATTTAAAGACTCAAACAAAAAATGGGCATCTGAAATGAACAGACATTTTTCAGACAAAGGAGTAGAAATAGCAAATAAATACATGAAAAAATGTTCAACATCACTAGTCATTCGAGAAATGTAAATGAAAACAACGCTGAGATTCCATTTCACTCCAGAAAGAATGGCTGCTATAACAAATGCTGGCGGGGCTGTGGGGAAAGAGGAACCCTGCTCCACTGCTGGTGGGAGTGTAGACTGATGCAACCATTGTGGAAATCAGTATGGAGATACCTCAAAGAACTAGGACTGGAAGTCCCATTTGACCCCACTATTCCACTGCTGGGGATCTTCCCCAAAGAATTAAAAGAATCATACCACAGTGATATATGCGTGCCCATGTTCATAGCAGCACAGTTTGTAATAGCTAAAACTTGGAAACAGCCCAAATGCCCATCAACTGGAGACTGGATCAAGAAAATGTGTTTTTTTTTTTTTAAATGGAGTACTACTCAGCCATAAAAAATGAGAAATTAGAGACATTTATAGCTAAGTGGATGCACATTGAGGCAATACTCTTAAGTGAAATAAATAGGACACCCATGAATAAATTCTGAATAGTTTCTCTGGTGTGAGAAACTGAAAGTGTAAATAAGGACTAAATGTATAATAGGTAATGTGAAATACGAAGAAAAGGGGCAAAGGGGAAGGAAGTGGGAGGGCTAGAGGAAAGGATAGAAGGGAATGGGATTAATATGAGAAAATGGAAAAATAGGAACAAAATCTTTGTAAATAGGGAGGACTGGTGGGGTTGAAGGGAGGGCTGGGCAAGGGTGAAAAATAAGAACCAAGAGAGACTATGTAAAGGTGCAAATTTCCAATGATGAATGTCATTATATTGTATACCTAAAATGTACCAATGATTAGAATGAATAATCGATAATGTAAAATAGGAAGAAAAAGTCCAAAGAGGTAGGGGTAGTGGGAGGGACAGGGGAAAGGAAAGAAGGGAAAGGAAAAATGCTGAGAAATGGAAAAAATGGAAATGAAGTCTTTGTAAATAGGGAATGGTGGAGGGTGTGAAGGGAGGGCTAGGAATGGGGAAAAAATAAGAACCAAGATGCATTATGTAAAGGTATAATTCCCAATGAGAAATGTAATTGTGTTGTATACCTACAATGTACCAATAAAAGAATTTAAGAAAAAAAAGAAAACAAAACAATTCTTAGAAGCTGACAGAGGAAATGAGTGCATTACTTACAGATCAAAAACAAGAATGGCAGGAACCTTCTGTAAAGAATGAGGTTCGGTTATAATTATCACAAATGGACTTACTCTGCTGTAAATGAAGACGTTTTAGCATATTTCTGTGAAACATGACTTTAAATTCAAAGAAAGATGTATTGTTCTATTTGGTTCCACAGCTTCTGTTAAAGACCTTTGTTTACTTGTCACCAAGTCAATAGCAGCTTATCATATTTAGCTTTATGTTCAGGAAGTTGTCCTTTGTACTCAGATCTCTGTTTTCATGGTGCAATAAAGACCAAGTTTTATCTTGTTAAAGTCCAATGTCTCAACTGTGGCATTTATCACTCAAATTACCAGTGATTCCACTGCAGTAAGAATTCTAAGCATTTCTACCATCCATTTCAAGGATGAATTCAAAAGATGTTGTGAGAAAAAATCTGAAGGAGATCCATGGCTACCCCATGGTGTATGCTTTTGCTCACAACTGGGAGAAGGTTGAGCAGTTCCAAAGCAGGCCAGATGACATTGTAATATCCACCTATCCTAAATCAGGTGAGTCTGCTGGCCTGATTCACACAGGTCTGACCTTAACTTTTGTTTTCTGGAAATCTTAAGCAAAGTTATTATAAGTAGTGCAGCCCTATACTTCTGTTACATTAAAATGGGCATTTTGGATATAGAAACTGCAGAGCTAAGAATCTAATAGGATGTATTAAGAAGGCCTGCTTCCAAGGGTACTTTTCTCCCCCAAATTGGCTGCTAATATAAAAATGTTACCTCTTACTTCAGGTACCACTTGGCTTAGTGAAATTGCAGATCTGGTTCTAAATGATGGTGATGTTGAAAAATGTAAGCGAGATGTTATTACTGCTAAAGTTCCAATGTTGGAAATGAGTTTTCCTGGATTGCCAGTATCAGGTAAATTTAAATAATTTTTAAGCATAATTTCATATTATTAGTCACTTAGCATGTATATTATTATATTTTGACTCTGAAAAACACAATACTGGAGTAGATTTGGTAATGTTAAGTGCTAGTTTTAAAATAATATAATAACTAAGAGTATATAAATAAACTGCTTTTAAACCACTGCACAGCCAGGTATGGTATCAAAGATGGAACAGTTTTATTATAGAAAACAATTGAAAATTTTGTTGATAACATACACAATTTTCCTTATGTTATGGGGTATTATTTTGTATAATTTGACAGATTGGGAAGATACTAACTTTAGATAATGTTAAATTACATAAATGAGAAACACCTACTGTTCTTAAAATAGTATTTCTTATTAATACAAATAACTTTTTATTCCATAAATATTTTTGAGTTTCTCTGAAGGATTGTTCACTGTGTTATAGTGTAGAAATAATATGGTAAATAAATTATCTATCTTATCTCTAAGGAATTTACAATAATATTGTGACGTTTTAAAAGTAAAGAGCCTTAAAATAGATCAATGCTATTAGCTTTATGTATCCAAAGAAAAGTGCAAAACAAAGGAGAATAGCATAAGACATTTTTTTCCTTTTAGATTTGATGTTGGAGGATGGCTACTTTGAATTAAGACACAAAGCCATACATGTGATTCCAAGAAGGTGAACTATTAGGTTTAAGGGCTTTGGTGAAGAAAATACCAATGAAAGAAGAGAGACTAAAAAAAGGCCAACGAAAGGAGGGACTTACACAAGACTAGTGCAAGAAGGGGAAAGTGGGATGCAAAGGAATCAGAGATTTTGCAAGAACAGATTATATAAGTCATGAAATTCTTAAAGGATTTTTAAATTTTATTCTAAACATTGTGAGAGTGACACTGGAGAATTTTAGATTAGGAAAAATTGCAGAATTTTGTTATTATTCTGCTTTAAAACAAAAAGACTACATTGGTGTCTATGTGGGATGGAACTGGGGATGCTAGAGAAGAAACATTTTTGATTTCTTGATGGACTGTGTAAGAAACATGAAGGAATTGAAAGAAACAAGGGTATTTTTCAGAGTGTTAATTTGATCAAACAAGTGCACTTTAGAGCCATTTACTTACATTGCTTAAAGAATATATTTGGGCAGGGACGTATTTGGGCATAAAGCAATAGCTTCAGAAATGTTATGTTTGAAATGCCACTGAATCTTTTAAATGGTTAATTAAAATTACTATATTTGGAACATGTGCAAAGATATTCATTAGACAATTTTCAGCATAATTGGGCATTAGAATCAGAGTGATTGTCCAGGAATCCTGTAGAGCCATAAGAGAAGAGCAAGAATGAGCTGTGGAAATCACCAACACATTGAAGTTTAGCAGAGGAAAAGGACCAGCAATTGAAACTGAAAAAAAATAATTCATTGAGCTAAGAGAGAAAGGAAAAATGTGGTGTCCTATTTCGTACAGAAGATAGGCCAGTGACAGCCCATCCATACTTTAGTTTAAGATGTGATATCTAGATACTCTCCCTGGGTGGAGGTGCACCACACCAAATGAACTGGAGCCTCCTAGGCTGACACGACTACTGAGAGGCTGTCTGTAGTTCATGTGTTTGTATGAAGTCAGAGGCCAAATTCAAAGGGAAGGATTATGCTGATATCAAACAACCAAAATGAATACAAGAATGAGGTAAATCTTAAAAGCCACAGAAAATTATGAAATGAAAAATGATTGAACCAAAATAATGAGGAACATAAGAGTTAACCATTAATAATAGAAGGCAGAGGTGGAGAGAAAGTATAAGTAACACTGTCAGAGAGGAAACTGCTGAGGTTCAGCCATGGATGTGCTCAATTTAGATTTTCTTGAGAGGGAGCCACCGGGACAGGCCACAAGGACAGGGTGAGGAGGACCCCCCCAGGCAGGGCCACCAGCTGACAGCTGGGCCAAAGGGAGTCAGAGGGGCCCAGTGGGTCTGAGCAGTTGCAGACTGACCGGGACCTGCTTGCTCTGGCTTGCTCCACCAGCTTTCCACCAGCCACCAGGACAGGGTGAGGAAGACTGCCCCAGGCAGGCCCACCAGCTGATGGCTTGGCCGCACTGGCACCTCCAACAATACTCACCCCCCTCTGCCCCCCGGCCTCTGGCCTTTTGGCTATGCAGATACTTGGTTACACACTGCAGAGGCACAGCAAGATAAAAGCCAGTGTTCTGAGATCCAGAAGTGAACAACAGAGAGAGTATCTGTCTTAGGCTCCCTGATGAAAACAACTCCACTGGAAAAGTGAAGGGAATCTCTGCAATAAAGGCACACCAGGCCACAGGGATTGGTAAATTGGAGGGATTATCAGCTCCCATCAGACACTGGACTTTCTTCAGGGGAAAAGCAGCTGAAACATGCAGTAGAAACTTGCAGAGTACAACCCTGCAGGAGGACAGGGAGCTCAACTTGGGACTTGCAACCAAAAATCTGCCTGAATCTCACGGGTCTGGGACTAGTTTACTGAGACTCATTGACTTATAACTGCACACTGCTGCCCATGTTGTCTATTATGACAGCAGAGACACACCTTGAAGGAGACCTTTATTTTTTAAAGGTGATAGATCAATAACTACCACAAATTGTCATTCTTTAAGAGTATTTGATGCTATGGTGTTGCTGATTGTATGACTTGGGCTAAGGTGTCATGATTGATCTAAACAGTTTTCCTTTCTGGTATAATGAAAATGAGATAGCCTCAGAGTCATTAGAGACTCAAAACCTAAAGACAAGCTATATCTGGTAGACACCTCTGAGAAGCAATTATTCCGTAAGGGTTTTAAATAGATCAACAAAGATACTTACAATAAACAACTTCATAATATCAACCCAGGAACTAAACCAGGGACAGTACCAAAAACAAAAATGAGAAGGCATTTAAGCAAGTCACAAAACCAGACTTCCACCCCACAAAAGGCAATTTCTGGGTGAAATGAGGTGCAAAAGTCTGATAATCAACCACCAGGACACCCTGAACTGATAGCACAGGAAGTAACAAAACAGATGAATGGGGCTCTAGAAAAATTGAAAGCAGAAATAATCTTCCAGACAACTACAGAGATGGTGAGCAGAGTGAAAGATATGATTAGAGGCTCTAGAACAGAAAGTGATAAAAAAAAAAATAGATGAGCTCAGAAACATGCTGGAAGCCAGCAATACCCAGCATAAGATAGAAATGGAAACCATGAAACAAATTCAAACAGATATTCAGGAGATTAAAAACTCCATTGAAAACATGCAGAGCAGATTAAAAGAATCTGAAGATAGAATATCAGATATAGAAGACAGGATTGTGGTGAAGGACCATGAAAACAGAGATTTCTTAAAAATAGTATAGTAAGGGACCATGAGAAATCAATTCAACAGCTGCTAGATGATGCAAAGAAGAATAACATAAGACTGATAGGAGTCCACAAAAAAACAGAAGAAAGTACAATTGACATTAAAAAACTGTTCACAGAAGTAATAGTAGAAAACTTCCCAGACAGAGGAGGAGAAATGGACATACAGATAAGTGAGGCATATAGAACTCCACCAAGCCATGATCAAAAAAAATCTACACCTAGACATATAATAGTCAAGATCCCAGAAACCCAACAGAAGAACAAAATCCTACAAGGAGTTAGAGAAAAGAAACAAATCACCTACAAAAGAAAGCCCATCAGAATCACAGCAGACTTCTCAACACAAACCCTCGAATCAAAGAGAGCCTGGAGTGAAGTATTTCAAGCCCTAAAAGAAAATAACTTGCAATCTAGACTGTTGTATCCTGCAAAATTATCTTTCAAAATTGATGGGGAAATTAGATACTTCCATGACATAGAACACCTGAAAAACTTCATGAACACCAAACCAGCACTCCAAACAATTCTAAGCAATATCCTAGAAAAAGGCAATGAAAGTCACAACTCCATGAGGCTCAACAGAGGGAAGCAACTAGGTAAGAAACTAAAGGGAATGGAGGAAAAAAGAAATAAGAGCCAAAAACAGTAAAACATCATGACAAGGATGAGTCAATATCTATCAATTATAACTATCAATGGTAATGACCTCAATTCACCAATCAAAAGAAGTAGACTGACAATGGATTAAGAAGCAAAATCCAGCAATATGGTGTGTACAAGAAACACACCTAACTCAAAAAGAAATTCATAGACT